AGTTCGTGCCGCTTTATAAGGAAAATTGAAACCCTGTCCTCTTAAATTTTTGGAAATGGTTTTAAATTATATTGGTACGACTCTATACCTAAAACGTCTTTTATTATTGGATAAAATTTTAAAAATTATTTTTTATCTCAACCATTGAAATGAAATTATTCACAATATAGAAATTTTTGTGACGTTTGATAATGGTGGAAATCCGAAAATGAATTCACTTCAGCTACAGTCTATTGTAAGCTTTATATCGAAAATCAGAACGAACTTTCCGGACAACCTATAATGTTAATACGAAGTGTCAAATGAATGTAACAGAAGTAGTTTATTCCAAATTGTATCACAAGTATATAGAGATAGAGTTCAATTTTGTCAAATGTACCGATATTTTTGAGCACCTTGACTGCTTCGTTACTTATGACGCTGTGGATGCTACGATATTTATGAGCATCTTGCATGTACTCATATATTTGACGCTGTGTATGTACCGATGTTTTTGAGCAGGGTGAATGTATCTATTATTTTGAGGACTTTTGTTGTACCGATATAATTGATTACTTTTGATGTACCTATATATTTGCATATCTTGTCTGTGACGATCTATATGACGCTGACTGTACATTCACTAACCGTTAATCAATTTATCAATTACACAGTGTCCTTCTAATATTAATGTTATTACAACGTTTTTAAGGTTTAAATTTCAATGACTATCTGTGATAGTGTTGGGTTTCAATTGTTTTGGACTTATTTTGTTTCTGCTGCATATTATTATGTTGGGTCTTGTTGAACTTGTTTTTTTCTTGGGCATTACTAACCTTTGACCATCCATCATGCCAATCTTGTTATTACGTGAAGTTTATGCGAAATTTAAACGTGGATTTCCAGTTTGACAACGCTACCACTTAGGGTCCTTCAAGAAGTGAGCTTATCACTATCTCAAAGGCCGGCAACGCATCTGCGGTTCCTCTGGTATTGCTGATGTCCATGGGCGTCGTTGAATACCTCGATGTTCCCGCTGCTCGTTTGCCCCCTTCTGTTATAAAAAAGTAGTCATAAAAGAATTGTCAAAATTGTTATAAGCTCGCGTCGTAAAATAATTTAGGAATGATTATCAATGTTTCCAACATGTTATATCCAAATAATGTTTTATATACAATTTTTTTTAAGTCACCATTTATATTTTACGAAATCTGTCGGTCATTTACTTAGTTACTTTTGTAACTAATTTTGTTGATACGTGGTTTTGACTATTTTTTTAACACATAGAGCTACTTAATAGACAGAAACCGTTGCACGGATAGTTCTGTTGATGTCCTCTCTATCAAATTTGAATATCTTTAGTCGAAGCATTGAAAAATATCTATATTAAATTGCTTTGTTACTCCTTTATCTTTTTTCGATTTCGATCTAATAGCTTCTGATGAAATTAAAACTGTTTTATTTCTTAATTCAAAATTAACATTTCCATAATCCTTATCCGTAATATGTATAAATTAATTTCTATTGCTTTTTTATCTTAATTTTTTTTAATGAGAAATATTTTAAGTGTTTTTTATTGGAACTAATTTCAATGTGCTATCGTATATTTTTTAATTTGATTTTACTCTCGCAAATTACTTTCTTAGCTTCTGCAATGAGATGGTTCGGATTTTCATAGTGATTTTTTATATCATAAGGTCGCAAACGAGCGAGCGGTCATTTGTGGTCGCTGAAATCGCGAAGCGACTTGCAGATGCGTCTTCCTTTAACCGACGAAGGATAGGATGTACAGAGAGAGAATATTTTCCCTTCCCATGCATCCTCATATCTGTAAAATCCTCTTCCACTTTCCATCCTTTCCTTATAAGATAAAGGGAAGGGAAAACAGTTAAATGTAGACCGTTTAGTAAACGATTTACTTTTCGTCTTCCTTTTGGTTCAACGCAGAATTAATATTAACAATCTTAAATTAATCGCCTGCCAAGAAGTATAACAAATGCTTTCGTATATTAAATTGTTAACGTTTGAATGAAGACCAATGGGTCCGGGAACGAATAATTGCAAATCATCACTCTTGAAGGCGAGGGAATTTATAATACACTCTGTATTACTAACTGATTCCTTAATATTCTATTGAATCGACTCTAGCATTTTATTTATTTTATGACTGCATATTAATGGT